AGGCAGGCAGGAAGGCAGGCAGGCAGGCTCACTATACCTTCTTTATAAAGAAGTAACATCCAGAAATGACCCAAAATACTTAAAATTAGCTAGCAATTCCAAGCTAACACATAATGTAAATCAGATCTCCAACTTGAAGAAGCACTTGCTAGCTGGCAAATTCACAAAAAGTCAGTTCTAAACTGTTTGTTGAATGAGTGAATCAATCAAAGGAGAAAGCTTTCTGCTTCTGTGAGCTGCTTCCTTGGCCCTAACAGTTGACTTTGCATTTACCTTACTTTTGCAAGGCACACCTGCCTTTAAAATGAACACATCAACTCTTACATGCGATACATCCTTATCCCTTGATCTCTTATCACATTATGTTTCAAAACATCAAAGACACTAACGCTGTATCTTGAATGGTGGCCAAACCTCAAATACACAGCTCTGAGTTTGATCCTGAGCCCACAAAATCAGAAGTCTTGCAGCCACAAGTCATTTTTTTTCAACCTTACATACAATATGCTGACATGGTTCTTTTCTGTCAGCAATTTGAAGGCTTAAAGGATTAGATAAAAATTTATGGCTAAGTAATGAGATTTTTTTTTTAATTCAAAGTTCTGCTCTAACTGGCCATTATTCATATAAAAGCAGGATTCTCTGTTAAGTATTGTGTCTCCCCCACCCCCATGGGCCACTTTCCTCTGGATTCTTGAAGGAGAAATGGGTTTGTCACAGATTCCCAAGTTAGTTTCTGCTACCCAATCTAAAACCAACACCTTAAGTCACCCTATCACCACTATCTCCAGGGTTCCAGGCACCAGCTCCCAGCTCCTAGCTCCTTGCTCATTTCAATCTGTCTGGCCTCATGTACCTAGTTATTTTTTCAGCACACTGTTTACCCCAAGCGTATAAAATTTCCCCTTCTCCTTCATTCAACACATATGATTAATACATAGTTCTTTTATCAAAGGTTAACAAAGGGTAAGCACAGCACAATGCAGAAACAACTTCAAATTGAATTCTACATATCACTAACATTAAAAGTTCCTCTTCCTGATAATCTTCCTAAACTCCTTACTTTTGTCATTTGAACCTTTTCTTTCCTTTAGACCCTGCTCCTTTCTCTCTTCTGCTTCTTTCCCTTATCAACCCTAGTCAAAAAGGGCATTTCTCAGATTTGTTACTTTACTCTGCAAAGGGAATCTAAACCTTTTTCTTTTAGTTTTCTCCTTCCAGACACTGCCTAGACACTTCAACCTTTCATGACTGACAAACCCCAACAAGGTATCTTCTGAACCACACTTCAAGGTTTTTTTTTCCTTTGTAATGAATGCCATCCTTCTAGGTAGTCTGTCAAAAGCTGCAGCCCATTCCTAAAATAGTTTTTCCTCTCTGGTATAAAAACATATCAGAAATTCTAGTCAAATGACTATTGTGCTTCAGAAAAGCACCATGAGAGGCTATTCATTTACTGAAATGATATGATCATGGAGAGTTAACAAGCCGGTCAAGGAAAATGAGATTTAAGAGGTTGTTAGGGTTTGGATATGAGATGTCCCCCCAAAGCTTTTGTTAATGCAGGAATATTCAGAACTAAAATGATTAAATCATAAGAGCTGTAATGTAATCGGTCCATCCTAGTTTGAATGGATTAGGTGGTAACTGTAGGCAGGCGGTGCATGGCTAAAGCAGGTGGATAACTGGAGGCATGTCCTGGAAGAGTGCATCATCTCTGTGGCCCCTTCACACACACACCTCCCCCCCTCCTCTTTGTTTCTCTGCTTCTTGACCCTGTCATGAGCTGAGCAGCTTTTCTCTGCTGGACCCTTCTCCCAAGATGTGATGCTGCACCTTGGTCCAGAGCAGTGAGGTTGAGCTATCTATGGGCTGAGACCTCTGTTACCATGAACACTCCCTCGCAAAAAAAAAAAAAAAATTTCCTCCTTAAGTCATTCTTGTTGGGAATTTTGGTCACAGTGACTTAAAAGCTAATTAAAAGGTTATGGGCCTCAATAAAGGTCAAAGATAAAGAAATAGAAAAGGGAGAGAAAAAAGAGAGAGAAAAACAGGTGTATCTGAAAGAAAGGAAGAGTTGAAGTCTGGGCCTTTCAAGGTTGTACTCAGTCTGGTTTCCAGCTAGCACACCTGTGGGCACTTCCCCCAGAGCACTCTTGCCCTGCATTCTTTTTTCTCTAGCTAATCTGCCCAGAGAGCTGTGGGCTAGTATTTCCACAGAGTCTCCAGAGCCATGACCTTATCTCAGCCTCATCACAGAAATCACTATAATTAGTTTTTCTTCCTCTTGGTCAGTGAACAAAACTAAAAGCAATTCACTTGAGAAATCTGCATATCTCCTCTGTCTCAGAATCTGTGGAGACTCAAGAGCTTACTGCTAAGCACACCATAGTAGTAACAAAACCAGAAACAAAAGCAAAACCAGGACTTCCATTATCTAACCAGACAATGTCCAAACTTGCCTATGTATATGTTTTCTCTGAGAAAAAAAAAATCATTAAGACATACAATGTATAATAAAATGCTTATACATATTTACTGCTTATATTTCTAGGCTTTTCTTTTATTTATTAAGCAAATTATGTATAGCTGCTTTCAAACTGAGATAAATGTTACTAGCATTTAACAAACTTCTTAAATCATTTGTATATTTTGAATGAAAAGAACTGGCTTGGAAGAGACCGCCAGTCTGCATTTGAATCCTACTTTAAGGTCTTAAGCTGAGTGACTTTGGGAAAATTACTTAATATCTTTGAATATTAGGTTCTCTTTTATCTATAAAATGGTACTGATAATACAGTGTTAACCACAAAGGCAATTTTAAGAATTGAAGTAGTTGAGCACTTGAAACCATATATGGCATATAGTAATTACTCAACAAATGTTATCTGTTATCATTAGACATTAACCTTGCTACCTGAGCATAAAACTATGGTACACCTTTTTGCTTTTTTTAAGATGAAAGTGATTTCAGAAGTTTTAGGAATAACTGTTTTGAATATAATAAACAGTAATAATTTTTAAAAGTCAATATTGAGAGCTGTCATCCTTTGACAGATTGTTCACCTCAAAGTCTATCAGTTGTAGGTCAGCTATCAGTGTCACCAGCAGCCCACTGTTGTAGAGTTCTTGTGCCAGCTGAGCCACTGCTTCTGTGGGGGGTTCTTTGTCACTTGTACCACACAAAATTTCTTTCATTGCTTGCAGTGATTTTGACACTTCTTCTGAAGCCTGGTGACCAAAAAATATGTTAATAGTTAAAAAGAACAAAAAATTTCAGGCCATAAACAAACAAGAAAACCATTTCTTGGACCTTATTTATTTATAATCAAAGACCATTGTACAGTTATAAAAAACAAAATACTAATAGGCACTGCCTTTGTTATTTTGGAAATTGTCCTAAAATTTATATAAAGATCTCTAATATTTCTACTTAGTCAACATAATTGAAATAATTTTACTATAAGCTATAACTCATAACTAGTAACTAAATAGAAATTTTATTTTTGAAAATTGAGGCCACTTTAAAGACTTATCAGCAGTTACTAGTCTTTATTTAAAGCATCATGTTGAGTATGAAATCATAAGTGGTCAAAATTAAGTTTGTCAACAAATTTATACATTATATGGCATCACCACTTTTTAGTTATTGTGAAACTTAAAAATAACTCATTATTATATTTAAAGAAAAATGCAAACGTATAGAGACAGAATATAGATTAGTGGGTGTTAAAGAGGAGGGGGAGAGAAAAATGAGGGATTGCTAATGGGTACAGTGTTTCTTCTTGAGGTGATGAAAATGTTCCAGAATTAGTATTGATAGACTACATAAAAATAGGTCATGTAGCAAGGCACTGCTTTTTTGGGGAGGGTACTGGGGATTGAACCGAGGGGTGCTCTACCACTGAGTCACATTCTCAGCCCTTTTTATTTTTTACTCTGAGACAAGGTCTTGCTAAGTTGCCGAGGCTGGCCTCAAACTTGTGATCCTCTTGTTTCAGTGTCCTGAGTTGCTGGGATTACAGACTTGCACCACTATAACCAGCAAGGCAGTGTGTGTGTGTGTGTGTGTGTGTGTGTGTGTGTTTCTGGGAACTGAACCCAGGGCCTTGTGCATGTAAGGCAAGCACTCTACCAACTGATCTATATCACTAGCCCCTACTTTTCTTTATAGTTGTCTTACCTGTATATACATCCCAAAACAATATAGCTTACTTCTTCTAATTTGAACTTTATAGAGTGATATTTGTACCCTTTCATGACTTGCTTCTTTCATTCAACATTACATGAGTGTGATTCACCTACGCTGCTGCATGTAGGCAGCAGTTCTTTGCTTTCCATCTCTGTAATATTCAGTTCATGGCTACATCACTTCTTTTTGGGGGCCTATGAACAACAATGCTGGGAACATTCTTCTGGGAACAGCATATTTCTCCTGGTGTACATACTCAAGAATATCTCTAGAGTTTATACCTAGGAGTGGAACTTCAGGGTTTTAGCATATGCATATCCTCATATTTAATAGATAATACTAAATCAGTCTTTAAAGCTGGTACACAGTAAGTGAAAGTTCCTACTGCTTACCATCCTTTCGGACACTTAATATCATCATATTTTTCATTTTTGCCAAGATAATAGGTGTGTAATATGAATTTACTGTATTTTTAATTGGTCTTTTCCTGATTATTAATTAAAAGAAGGAAACTTTTTTCTTCTTTCTGTCATTTAACATTTAGAATTACATACTTTTTTATGAAGGTCATTTTTTTCTGTTTGACTTAATATTATAAAGAACACTAGAATTAAGATATTTCTCCATCTCTTTATAAAATTTAAGATTGTGTCATATACTGAGACAGAAAAATACTGTGAACTCAAGGATATTTATTTTATAGATATCTTGAATCTTATAAACTAGTCACTTTAGAGAGAAACTGAACATGTAGGAATGAACATCTCCTTCAAAGGAATAACTAAAATACTAAAAACAAAAAACAACCTACCTGAAGTAAGCTTTGCTTACTAAGACTTTAAAACATCATGAGATAAAGTTGTACTGATGTAGAAACTATCAGTCAACCTTTAAATAAAACCTTTTCCTTTTCACATCACTATAAGATGACAATGTAAATAATCACCAATATAATCCCTGAGATCTTTAAGCTCTAAAGTCCACAGAAATCCAGGGCTGCTCAGAAGCCCTCAGTTGTAAGCCAAAAGTTAAAGACAAAAGACTGGACAGTTATCAGTTACATAAAACCTGAAATCAGTTTTACTGTACTTACACCCTGCATGCACACTACAGACCTCATTTGGGGTTCTTCATTAAGCTTTTGCATTGGATTTTGGCTTTGGAATACAGTATTTTAATAACGTTATTGTTTTTGTTCATACCTTGTCAGTCTTTTTGTCTTGCTTTTCCAAAATAGCCATGTTGTCTTTCAGTATTTTCACAATTTCTGCTGGATTTTTGTGTGATTTACTAAACAAAGGCATTTTCTTTCATATATAAAATTCTCCTCTTCCAATATGGAATGCTAAAAACAAACAAGCCAAGAAAATCATAACTTTAACTCAATATGCTGAAGTTGTTATACCAAAATGTCTTTAAAAATTTTTAATAACAGCAATAATTTGTAACATTAAAAGTTAACTAAAACAAGTTGTTTTATGCCAAATTATAAAATACCTCAAGAAAGATATTTTAAAATATTTACCTAAAAGTTTTTATTCAATGTCTTTATTTTTTCCAGCAATACAAATATAAGGCTTATGTAAGAATACAAAAGGAATATTTAATTAAAGTGAATTGAGATGATGATACTACTAAATGATAAAATAAAACATAAAACTTAAGTGGGATTAGGATTCATATACTGTCACAAAACAATATTTAAAAGCATACCAATAACTATTGCATGGCAATTTCAAAATTGATATGTAAAATAAATTAGAATCTATTCTTTATTTACTCTTCAAATATTCAGTTGTTCTTATTCACTGATGAAAAAGCCTCTTCTATACATAATACCATGTACATATAATATACCAGTAGGGCATGATTTATTTTCCTAATGCCCTACTGGAGGGTGAAGGGGAGAAAAGAAGTATCAATTCTAGTCATTCAGAATATTTATTGCAGGCCTGGGGTTGTGGCTCAGTGGCAAAGCACTTGCCTAGCATGCATGAGGCACTGTGCTCGATCTTTAACATCACATAAATATAAAGGTATTATGTCCACCTAAAACCTAAAATAAATATTAAAAAAACTAACAGAATATCTGTTGCATAGAGCAAGAAAGCCAAATATGGCTGTCACTGCTGTAATGTATTAGAGGGGAAAATAATCTAGAAACCAAAAGCTCCAGCAAGTAAAGAATTGCTATTAATTTACATCTATAAGCTAAAATATTTCAGCTATTACTGAAATACAACTTTAAAAATAAAACTTCCCATGACCCAAGTGCCCAGAGATAGTATTTCATTGATGACTATACTACAATTATAAATTTAGGATTTATATTCCCTTCAAATTTTTACTGTATGTATAAAAATATTTTTTAAATAAAACTAGCGTACTAAGCATAATATTTGGCAACTGTTTTTTTATTTTTATATCCTGAACATCATTTCATTAATATGTTCAGATCTACTATAATATTTATATAATACAGTAGTAGGACATGATTTATTTTGGAGCATAATATATTTATATAATATACCAGTAGGGCATGATTTATTTTCCTAATTTTCCCTAATGTTCATATTATTAACAATGATGCAGTTAATCAAGGAAGAAAGAATATTGTGCGTAAATGCATATACCAATTGATAGCAGCACCCTAGGCAGCTACTTCTGTTATATAACCTTGACTATGCTTTCAAATTCTTCATCCTCTTAGATTTCTATTTATTTTCCAAATCTGTTTCTCCAGGATTTCTGCCAGATCTGTGAACTACCTTAGATCCATCCAATAAATTCCTCAAGTAACAAAATCAGTATTTGTTATTTGTGATCAAGCATTCCAATGGGATATATATGTTATAAAATAGGAACCAAAAATGTTGGTGTGAATTTTGATGACAAAAAAGGAAACTAAAAAAACATTACCCATTTCCAGAGAACTTCCCAATGTGGGAAGGGTATATAGAGGTATTTGTCCATTTTCAGTCCAAGGAAAAATTTGAAAAGCACAATAAAAAACCAAATCAGTTTCTAAAGCTAATACAAAGTTGACAGAGCATTTGAAGACAGAAATACATGAAGATCTCACTGTGTTTTTCAAATTTTTCCTTGGACTGAAAATGGACAAAAAGTTCAATGACATAGTTAATGAATTATTTCACTAAAGAAAAAGGCATAGTAGTTGCATGTTCTAGACATGTTCCTTAAGTCACTTACACTTTTTCTCATTATTTTAAAAATATATATTTACTCTCTGAATACTTAATACTCAGTGTTCAAACATTTGGCATTAAAACAGAATTTTAAAAAGATGGGGCTGGGGTTGTGGCTCATCGGTAGAGCACTTGCCTAGCACGTGTGAGGCCCTGGGTTCGATGCTCAACACCACATAAAAATAAATAAATAAATAAAGGTATTGTGTCCAACTACAGCTAAAAAAATTAATATTAAAAAAGGAAAAGAATCTAAATGAATTTGTGTAATTGTTCTCTTTCTTTGTGTAGTCCTGTCACATTAAGGGAAAGAACTATAACTACAGGAATTTCAACTAAATACTCCCTGACATCAAAACAGAGCATAAGTATGATATGGTATTACATATATATGATATGAAATTTTTTTTGTCCCTTACCTATTGCTCTGCTTGGTTTTTACCATATTGATCTAATTCTAATGTTAATTTGTTGAAATTATAAATGCTTTCAGGACTTCCATGTTAATAATGTGGTTAGCTAGTGTTTCTTGATTCATTATCTCCTTGAATTTTCATTTGTTGGTTCATTCACTTATTCACTGAACAAATAACCTGAGTAAGTACTATGTATAAGCACCTTGCTTAGTGCTAGGGATAGAGCCATGAACAAGAAAAACATAATTCCTGTTCTTTGGAGCTTATTAAGAAGGAAAAAAAGCAGACATTTTAGGGGCAATGGGATTATGTAACAGTCTAATACTATATGGTGCCTCTTAATAAACAGTATTCTTTTAAAATTATTTCCTATTTTAAATGTACCTAGTTACTATAATAAGTATAATATATAAAATTAATGTAATAATGTTATAAAATTTCAAAGGATCTTTACTTTTCAATTTTAGGACCCATACTTTGAGGGAACTCAAAGCTCTTACATTCAAATGATGTAGCTCCAGCCCCCAACGCTCCAGCAAATTACAACATTTCCTATGTGCCCAGTTCTCCATGTCCAGTCCCACTCTACTCCCAGACCAAACATTTCCCCCCTTCACCCACAAACTTGGGGATGCTGTTCTGTTTGGGAAACTGTACTGGTCACTGTGTATGCATCTACTCCAATACCATCATTTACCCCATTAGTTATTTAAGAAATGAGCCAACTGACCACGCACAGTGGCTCATACCTGTAATCCCACCTGCTTGGGAGGCTGATATAGGAGATCAGCTTGGGCAACTGGACAACTTAGTGAGCTCCTGTTTCAAAATTAAAAATAAAAAAAGGCTTGAGGATGTACCTCAGTCATAAAATTCTTGGTTAGCATGCTCAAGGCCCTGGGTTCAGTTTCCAATACAGCAAACAAACAAACAAAAAAGAAGTGAGCCAACTGCCACTCAAAACCACCTGCTACATAAACACAAGATTGACAGACTAGATTCAGAAGTTATCACCACTGTCTGGTTGTCATTTTCCTATCTGTAAAGTGAAGGGGTTCTTAAAGTAAGATAGCACATCATATATTGAAATTAGGCCATATATAGTGGACTCTAGGTTATTAATCACTATTTCACGTTCATTCCAAGTCTTTAACTCTTACCATCCATCATAGTCAAACAAAGTGCTTAAGGTAGGGACAAAAGGAATAGCAGAACCCTGAAAACTTGCCTTCTGGGGATAAGATGGTGACAGAAATTTTTCCTTAAAGACTATCTTAGAGTTTTCCTTTTTTTGTGTGTGTGTGATATTGGGGATTGAACCCAGGGCCTTGTGCATGCAAGGAAAGCACTCTGTCAACTGAGCTATATCCTCAGTCCTTATCTTAAAGTATTAAGAATGGATTATATGGTGGCAGGTGGTGGCGTGTGCCTGTAATTCCAGCAGCTTGAGGCTGAGGCAGTAGAATTGCAGGTTCAAAGCCAGCCTCAGCAAAAGTGAGGCACCAAGCAACTCAGTGAGCCCCTGTCTCTAAATAAAATACAAAATGGCTGGGGACGTGGCTCGGTGGCTGAGTGTCCCTGAGTTCAAACCCCAGTACTCTCCCCCCTAAAACAAAAAAGATGGACTGAACATTATATTTCAGCAAAGCAGGCAGGAGAGACAGGAAAAGATGCCATGTCAATCTAACACACTGATGTTAGATGAATGCCTCTTAGGGGTGGAAAACTTGAGGCCAGGCACATCATCCTGTCCTCAGCATTATTGCTGACAGGGGAGGCATGCAGCACACAAATGTTAATAGACTGACACTGGCCCTATTGCACTTTTTCACTTTCAAAACAAGTAAACTGGGGCTGGGATTGTGGCTTGGTGGTAGAGCTCTTGCCTCGCATGTGTGAGGCATAGGGTTCGATCCTCAGCACCAAATTAAAAATAAATAAAACAAAGATATTTTTTTTTTAAAGTGAGTAAATTGGGTGGCGCACGCCTATAATCCCAGTGATTTTGGAGACTGAGACAGGAGAATCATGTTCAGAGTCAGCCTCAGCAACTCTGAAGCGCTGAAGTCTATAAAATTCTGGGAAAGAAAGTCTATAACCTCATAATTAAATCTCTAGCTAATATATATCATTTATTTGTGAACACATTATGCATACTTATTAAAACAAAAAATGAGATGGAATAAAGCCCAAAAAGTGCTCAACGAAATGTTAAAAAAAAAAATTCAGAAACAGTCTTGAAAGGAAGTCTTTATATTGTTGGTAAGACATGTAGGAGGGTGAGAATCTACAATTATAATTCATTCATAAGGGAATAAAAATAAACAAGAATTGAACAAAGAAGTTAAAAAGGAAACCTAAAACCTCCAAGAAAAGGATGGAAATAATGATAGAAGAAGAAAATCTCTGGAGCTAATTTGGTCCCTGCTTCTTCTGGTGACAGATCTGTCGGCTGTGCTCCCTACTCCATCCCACCAAAAGGGTGAGAATGTCATGCAGTCATGCCAGAGTGTTCCATTATGCCAGCTACAGCAGTTGGCTCACAAGCTAATCAAAATTTAAAAGGTGGAAGGCACAAGCATTAGTAAGGATTGGAAAAAAGGGAAACTTGTACATTGTTATAGAAAGTGGTAAGGGAGGTTCCTCTAAATGTTAGAACTTGGGGCTGGGGTTGTGGCTCAGTGGCAGAGGCTCATCTACCATGTGGAAGGCCCTGGGTTCCA